CGCAGTGAGTGGTCGTTTTTTAACTGCTTGGATTGCAGCTTAGAAGCGCAACTTTTCAGGTATTGGTCAGCTCAGACAATGTGCGGCAGCTGATGGACAGTACAAGGCAAACATATCGAGACAGCGCGACAAAATCAACTTGTCGAGCTTTGCACAGTTGCTCAACATGGTGCTTTCTATAGAATCCATCTTCACCTGAGGCCAGGCTTCATTCAAAGCCGCGTCCGGTGCGCTGGGCCTGCTCCAACAATGCAGTTCCACGGTCGCTGTGATGATGCAACGATCCGCAGAGCACTGCAGTGTGAAAGGCCTGACTTCAGCAAAGGACACTTGGTACAACAGATTCAATATTCTTGTGTTTGTATTTTACTTGGCAGCTTTGTTGAAAGCAGTTACAAAGACGCACTTGTGCAAACACAACACTATTCGCACGGCAAAGAGAGCAGCACGAGCAGCAAGCACTCCAAGAAGTTCTTGTAATTTTTCTGGCTTCAAAATCACATGGAACCCACAGACGGGTGGCAAGGGTGGAACTGAGGTCTTTCTGACTTGCTGCCCTATGCCAAACCCATGATGGGGCCACTGGTCTTTGACTGTCACAAAGCACAAGATGTGCTCGTGCTAGGTCTCGGAGGCCATTCGACCCGAGAAGCAAAGCCGAGAGACAGAGACAACGCCCCAGAGACAGCGCAGGTGGTACGATGCCAAGCTTCTTGGAGACAAAGTGCCCAGGAAGTCATGCCTCCTGGCTGAAGAGGAAGTGCTGTAGTTGCAGCATCGGATGAGCCAGCATAGGATTAAAGGTTCAGATACCAGTCATTCTTTTGGACAAAGCTTTCTGCTGCTTCTGATGTAGATGGATCGACTACAGACGATTGGGCCTTGGGTCATGCAGGTCTTGGCAGTTGACAACAATGAGAATGTGCTGAAAGTCGCCAGAAACTATTTTGGCTTTCAAGGCAGCTGAACTACAATGGACCTCGCCGTGGTAAGTCATGTGCAGTTGGGACTAACAAGAACGACTTACAACTGCAACCTTGCCAAGAATGTTGTAGGGCATGAGATGAACGATTGGCACAGCTAAGGTGAAGCCATGATAGATGATATTCACTCGGCATTGTCCAAACTATCCCGCCTAGATAAGTCGTTTGATGCAATCGCCTGATGCCGAGACACATGTGAGTGTTCTATTTTTTCTGATCAACCTTTTGAGCGTTTTTGCCACATCAAGAGCCTTGTGCTGTCACTCTTGTCTGTAAATGTTTGAGGTCACAGATGTGGGTCATAATATCCGCTTGAACCAGGAGGACATGTGCTTCTTGGGATGTGCCGAAACACTGCGGTCGCATGTCAGTGCCAACAACGAAGCTGAGCAGTGTTAGTTTGTGCCAGGACCTGCACAATGTGGTCCATTTGCTAAAGCCGAACGGGGTGCTCATGGAAAATTTGAGCACCCCATCTTTTGCTGAAGAACAAGTAGCCCTCTTCAAAGACTTTCTGGGCGACGTATCCGAAGAAGTCAGTTTCTTGATTGAGTAGAAGATCAACAAAATCCTGTGTCCTTAGTGTTCTGAAAAACATTTTATGAACTTTGCGGCTCAGGCGGACAGAATCACATTCTCCTTGGGCGGTCCTCTCCTTCTAGATTGGTCAAGCTGTGACTTGCGGAGTAAAAGGACTGCCAAGAGCGTGAAAGGCGTGAGACAGTATATTTTACAGCATGCAGATTGTGTGCCTCGCTTGACCTTGGCACTGACTTTTGCCGCACGCAGATGGTGTGGAGTGGCCTGACTCGACTATTTCGCTTGGATGATGCTGGTGAAGAAATGGTGGAGGCCAGCCACTCAGCTCAGCCTTTTTGTGCATCGGACTTTCTTTGCACGAGTTGATTGCCAAGTGCACAAAAATCAAAAACCAAAGAGGAACTGCATGCCGAAGGTCGAAGCTGAGGGTCAGGATGGCTTCTTCGTGGCTGTTCTCAGGAGCAGTTGTACAATGTTTTACACATTTTTCACCAGTTGAAGTCATAAAGAACTCCACTCATTGGTGCAGTGACAGCACTGCCCTTGTGTCCCGAGTCGAACTGGGTTCGGCAACGGACCGAGTTCGAGGTCTTCCAGTTCGCATTCGACCAATCAGGTACTGTACTCGAAATCGGGCACCGCGTTTGGGGTGTGCACGTTCGCACGTTGTGCACGTTTGAGTACACGACTCGTTTTCAGTGCGCTGTCATGATAGATAGATAAGATTGAAGGCTCTGAATAGAGGGTTTATATAGTGCCTTTTCTCAGCTTGTTTTGTCAGCGAGGAATATCAACGAGGGGTCAGACGAACTGGAGCTCCTCGTGTATACGGCGATTCGCAAGCCATGGCCCAAATGGGAACAAGGGGGCTTCTTTTGGCCTGCCACATTTTCACAAGATCGTTGCTGGTTTGATCATCTCCAACCTTTTCACTCATTGATTCATAATTGTCTGCTGTGGAGCGTGCAACATTGTCAATTTTGCCGGAATAGATGTGTCGCGTAAGCATGCTCATCCCTGGACGCAACGCCTGAACGCCGACGTGCTGTCGCCCTGGGCACTTTGTTTTCTACCCCATGACATGTGTTTCTGGGGAGATGTTTTGGCAGTGAGGCCGGAGTAGAGCTTGTTCCAAACTATTTGACTGATTCTAAATAGAATCTCCACTGCGTTCAGCATGCAATGATCAAACATGATGCTCTTTGAGACCCGCAGACATGTGACTTGACTTCACATGTGTAGAAGCCTTAGGATGGAGCAGAAGGCATGCAAGAACTAGTGGGGAGATGGATTCCTTGCTTGCGCTTCTTAGACGGATGTGGGTTGAACCTATATAGCAAAAAGTTGAGAACCCTTTCAAAATGTGTGGGGTATGTTCCATGCCTTTGACTTGCGGCTGCAGAATGTGGCGCACAGACCTGTGACCTGCAAACCCAGCTATTCACCAAAGAATGAATGACAACTGACAACCGTTTGTAATTTTCCCTTGAAGGCTCTATATGTTGTTTTGCCACAGCTACAGGGATCTGAGCTGAGGTCTGGAATCTTCTTGATATTGATCCTGAATCACCATGTCGATGAGTCGTTCTCGAATCGTTTCCCAAGTTCATCTCCTGAGAAGCTACTAGGTGGAGGCCATCGCTAGTAGGTTGGACGCCATCGAAACGAACATAACAAAGCTTTCTAGTACCCTATCGACCGGGGAACGAGTTAGGCGGAAGCGCCTCCGCACGCCGGTGGCACTGATGGAGTTGCAAACAGCAGGAGATGCGGTGTGGGGGATCCACAGGAAGTCAGAGACATGGAAGAAGACATGCAGGAAGGCTCGAAAACACGGAATGCGGATGAATACGGAATTCTGTCGTGTTTCTATTTGCCAAAGCTGAAAAAGAAGCTGAAGAGCTTCGTACGTTGCCATCATTTTGGACGACCTGACTCTCTTCTTCTTGGTTTCAATTCAATACAGAGTATCAGCTAGCAGCTTCTTCGCAGCTATTGAAGATTGGGCCGAACGGTTTGACGGTGCAAACGAAAGGCTCTTGATGAGCTGGAGTGAAGTCACTCCTTCCGCTTTTGAACGTGGTGTGCAAGCTCGACTTGAGGTCTTTTTACGATGACACAGGGATTTATTGGGCTTTGCAGTTGCAGAAGCCTGAGGAGTCTTGGCCTCAGTTGAGCAACCGCCAAAACGTGCAATTACTAATTTGGTAAAGATGAATCTCACGAATTTGGCTACAACCTGCAAATTCGATACCTTATTCCGCAGTTTTTGGATATGTTCAGCTAGCTATGTTGACATTTTGGCTAAAACCTGCAAAAGCGATAGGCCCCCCTCAAAAGCGATAACCTCGCTGAATCATGTCATGTCCTTTGCTTGACAGTACGTTTTGGCAGACGCTCAGTTGGTCTCACAAGCAAGCTTGATTTCTCACCACAGACTTGCACCGTTAAACTACACAGCAAGGTAAGGCTTTTAACTCTTGTTGGAGCATTCACTCTATACTATGATGAGGTCAATGCCACTTTTGCGCCTTTTGCTGGCAGCGAAGGCAAGTTCTACTCAGTGGTTTGCGGTGTTTGCGACGAGCAGTTTCAGTGGACCTTGCTCTGTCCCCGTCCATTTGCAGGCTGCTGGCTCTGGGTGGACTGCCATGGTTGAATTAAGCTACTCCGAGTCGGAGGTGGGAAGCGGTTGAAACGACCATACTGCTGGTAGGCACTGAGGAGCTCAGGTGTGGAAAAGGCGCTGTGCGATGTCGAATTGATGATTTGCTCAATGATGGCAACCTGAAAGACATCATCAGGCGGGGGTGTCTGCCGTGTCCTCTTTCCGCCTGACAGCAGTGTCGAGACCTTAGATTTTCAGGTTTCATGAACCTGAAATTATCTTCTCTGGGCAATGAGGTCATATCGATCTCTTGGGGAAGCAGCTGAATCGAAAGGAACAGCCAGGACCCCAGGCGGTAGTTTCATTTTTCAGTTCAATTTAACTTATTTATACTTTAGCCAGAGATGTTTTCTCTGCAGGTCCCGACGTCTTGTGCATCGATCCACTCCAGTCAAGTGACGTCCGCAGATGACCAATGGGGTGGAGGCGCATGTCGATGCATGTGTTTTCTGCAGAACCAAAACCACTCCATCCAGCAGCTGTGAGGTGTATCTGATGTACTAGCCAACGCAACCGCGGGTTCCAGATCTCTGTTGGCCATACCACCAGGCCTGGCCTCTGCATGATGGCAACTCATATTCACCAAGTCTTCGTGCGAGGCTTGCAGCCTACCTCGCTCCGCAAAGGCGTGGCGGTGTGGTCAAGAAGTTTTTGTGCGAGGAGTGTAAAAGTTGCCTTTTTCTGCTTCTGTTGCTTGCCACTTGCTCCCGGATGCTTGTTTTACATCAAGTTTGCATCCTTCAGAGGCTCTGCAGTTCTTCTTTTGGAGGCAGGGCGTAGTCCAAAAGCTCCGCACACCGGCGATGCCATAAGGTTTCTGCACTAAGATACCGCTGACCCCCAGCCATTGTTGTTGTTGTTGTGGTTGGTAGAACAAAAGAAACTCTGGAACTTCAAGGGGACACGGTTAAGGATGTACGTATAGGGTTGAAGGCTTGAGGGAATGTTGGTTTCGAAAGTAGCTGGACTTGTTGGACTTGTTTCCCTCAAGTCTGGGTTGGTCCGTTTTTAGTGTTTTTCACGTGTTGTTCTGGAGTGGTTTTGGCGCGAACTGTTTTAATGCGAAGCCTGTTGACTTTAGTGTACGAAAACTTATGCAAGGAGAAAGAGTTTGAAACGCTAGCATGTCGGCTGAAAGATAACAAAAAATACTTGGCCTTTTTTTGCTTTTCTCACTCAACATTTTGAGGTGAGGTAGTGGGAGAGTTGATACTTTGAACATGCAGACCATTGGCCTGGCAAAGCACCCTGCGAGGTTGCTGCGGAAAGCCAGGCGAATACGCCGGCTGCTCCAGTGGAAGTAAAGGAGGAGAGAAACTACGAATCCTTGGATCAACAAAAAGAACATCTGAGAACGTATGAAAATTAATATGAAAGTATTTTTAGCCTTCCCATTTTGCAAGAAACATGGACAATCCGATGTAAAACGATCAGGAAGAAACATACGACAACGCCTCATAGCTCTGGTTTGGATGGCGAGGGGGTTTGAGTATAGACCAAACAGAGAGGTGCAGTACCTCATGGCATACTACTGTAACAATCTTTGCCCTTTGCCGGGAGAACGGTGTTTGCACCAGACACAAAAACGATAACTAGCAAAAGGACAACAAAAAGATCACGCAGCCAGGGAATGATGCTTGATGAGTTGCGATTGCATGGGTTTCTACCATGGATTGAATGGAATGAATTGTGCTCTTCGTGTCTAGCAGGTTCCACGCACCAGATGCATGCAGTGCACTGCATACTACACATGTTGCAGTTATATAGTCAAAACACTGTAAAACGATAAAGAAAAAGAACGGTGATATCAGAAGTGGTATAGGGAAATATAGAAGGTTTCTAGACAACCTCACATGGCATTTTCCACCTTTCGCCTGTATTGATGGATCATTTGATTTCATGGCTCCTAAGGGCTCAACTTGCGCAGCTGCAGGAGGCCAATAACACGAGTCGCAAGCTGTCCGTCAAGGAACGAATGGCCAGGCCTATGGTCTACGGCATATGCGGCTGATTCAGTTCTTGCAGGTTTTTAGACAGATAGGTTGCTCTCATTTGGACTACTCAAACACTTTGGTAGATTGGACACATGTGCATTGAACGTGCTGGTTGCTTTGCTACACAACACCCAAAACAAGACGGTTGCATTCATTTCCCTTGGAGCGAACGCGCGAGTTCGAGGTTGGCTGCTGCAGGCCTGCCTCCAGGTGCGGTTGGAGTGCAAATGCAAGCTGCTCGGAGGGCCTTGCGTCAAAGGATCTTCTGTCATGGCTTGGCAACAGATGGTCTTCTTTCCCGCTGTGCGATGTTCGTCAAACGGTCAAACACACTAATGATTGATGCGACTTTGA